ATTAGTAGTAATTCATACAGAATCCTTTGTTTCCTATTGTTTGATTATCACTATTTACAGCTGTAGTACCAAAAATTAGTATTTGTTCCACGGGTTTAGTGCAAGCACTCCATTAGAGTGCAAACAATATAACCGTGAAACTTTAGTAATACTAAATAGCACAATTTCATGCAAATTCCATTGTTTTCTATTGTTAGTAATTAGTAATTTACGGATTGTTTGAACTCTAAGGGTAAATACTCTAAATATTGCTAACGAGTTACAGCTATAAGAAATTTTTTGTATGTGAATCATGTTGAAATCATTACTTAAAGTCATCAGGTAAAACTGACTAAAATTTGATTGAAATGTATGTGTCTGTAAGTCAATGTCTCATTTATCAGTCTATTCCACTAAAAAACATTGTCGTCTTCGATGGGACTTCCCTTTTCCTAGATTAGTAACGAAATATGATATTTAAGGAAAATCAGGTCCAAAAAGCGTTTGTACCATTACTTGCAATTAGCTTTGTTACTAGTTCAACCAGCCTGAAAAAGACATTTCGAAAATTGAAAAGAATGCTCTTCGCTCTAATGTGTCCGGAAATGATGCGCAGATTTGTATCAATATTTTGTGACATGTTTCAAAACACGTACAGCTGAACCTACCTCTAACTTTTGACCACCAGCCTGCCTCAGCAAAGGGTAGCCAGGAAGACGGTCCTTACGTTTATCTGGAAGGATTACAAACATGTTTCAAAAAAAGCGAGATGGGAATGAATAATACCAACTATGAGGGATTGTCAGGAGTAATTAACTGATCCACCTTGAAGTCAGAATAGGCACACGAATTTATATTTTTGATATCCTCCTTCTTTGTTCAATGGAAAGTATTTAACAAAATTCAAAACTATAAACTCGAGTACATAGCTCCCAAATAGACCTACCGAAAATATTGTTCAATGCGGTGCTAACTTCTTGAATTTTCATACGATCTTCTTTCTTAGCCATCAACATTTTTTCGATAACTTCTTTTACTTCTTTCGTCTCTTTACTATCGCTCGGTTTTATCTCTACGAGTTTTGGTGGAGAAGATCCTGTTTGCAACGCGTGTGCTATCACCATTCCTAATGGCATTTTAAAGTCAGACACTGAAAATAATACGAAAACATGAATAGGTAAAATTAACTAAAATATTTTGTTGTTCTCGTGCGATTCATCTGATCGAATAAACGTATTGATACGATTACTAGTCAGTACTGTAGGTCTTCTTAATCTCCAATCGTAATCAGTTGAAATATGCCAGACTTAGTAAAACTGTGATGGGGCTTTTTTGGATGGAAGACCTATACTCACCAGTCCTGTGAAACACTGAGCCTTCGAAGCAGTCCACTGAAAGGAATAATGGAGGAGGGCATTCCGTTTTCTATATCTTCTTCCCCTCCCTCTCTCCACTTCACCACAAAGACCGCTACACTAGCTAACTTACTGAGGTAGTACTTACAAGGTAAAATGTCGCCGATCTTATCATAGTTAAGCATGCCTAAGTACACTAGACCAAGCGCAAACACATCTACAGAGGATGTATACATCTGCTCCATAAAAAATTCTGGGGCCATGAATACCGGTGTTCCTGCAAAGGTCGACATCATGTAGCTGTTTGCCATGTCTGCCTTCTCTTCCTTGTCTTCGGCAACTTTGGCTAAGCCAAAGTCAGTCACTAAAAATGTAAACACGCACTAATGAAAATATGCATCCAACTAAGTTACTGAGTTAAAATACTGTGTTGGCTTTGGACGAGAGGGTCTGGGTTACCAGACCTGATCTGACTTATGACGAAGCACTACAAACTACCAAACTCCAAAGACTTAACCACCGAAGACAAGAGCGCTGTCAAAAACTCTATAAGAAAATACTAACTCAAAATAATAACAAGCTCAGTGAACTTTTACTTAAGAACAGTTTCTTACCAAGTTGTATTAGAATGTGGGATAGCATGGACATTTAAAGATGTTTCGATTGTTTTATTGTAAACACTAATACATTTGAAGATCGGATTTATACTTATCTTCTTACCCTGTAAATTAATGTAATATTTCTTTCATGTCTCTCATTTTCAACATTTTTATAATTCTAAATATTTCATATTTTGCATTGCATCATCTTATTGTAAATATCATATTTTTCAAACTTTGTGGTTTGCTATTAATATGTTAATAAACTATATATATATATATCTACCAGGACCATCACGGCGTAATAGGGTTACTCCAGGGTTACTGGGTTGCCTGTAAGTCTAACAAGCCGGAAGCAAGCACCCCATTAAATTACCTTTAATGACTGGTTTGTCGCCCGTATAATGCAACATGATGTTAGCTGGCTTCAAGTCTCTGTGTATAATCGGAACAGGCAGCCCATGCAAGTGACGGATGGCACTAGCTGCCTGTTGCATGAATTCAACCTTGGTTACAAAGTCTATGGGCTTGTACTTGTCAAAGTACTGCTTTAGATTGCCAAAGTTGCAAAACTCCATCACCATCCAGAACGAATTGGCTTGGAAAAACGAGTCGAAAAACTTGACTATGTGGGGGTGGGACGGGAGTTTCTGAAAACAGAAAATACTTATGAACAGAGAATAACAGCTTTCCAACGTAACAACGTGCAGTTGGAAAGTGTCATTGCGGTTCGTAGCACATTGATCACGTTAAGTGAATATGTTTATCTTGTATATTCCCTTGTGAATATTTTAGTCGCATGACATTTAATTATGCAAATATACGCTAAGTATATAAGTTAGTGTTATACTAAATGTATTTCCCTCGCTTGTTGGACAGCCAAAATTTGTATCCAAACTTATGCAAATTTACGTTACAAATCTACTTTAGAATATAGCTCTAGCCCTCGGAGCGTTAATACGTTGCATCGGTCGAGGACTACGTTTTCTAGTGGGCTTTTTACCAAAGAAGTTTTTATCCTACTGGTTTTTTCGTAGCGGGCAGCGTATTATTGTAATGTAATAATRTAGGTTCGTTTTCTAAACAATTGTAATATTTATATATTCATATTAATGATGAAGCGTACATGATTGAAAATAAAATGCTGGTCTAACGCTGTCCACCAGGCACCCAGCACAGTCACACTCCATTATGTTGTAGTGTCGTATATTCTAGCGATTAGCGTTTGGTGCAAAGGGTAGGAATGAATAGACAATTAAAACAAAAGATGTGGAGATTGAAAGAAAGAATAGAAAAAACATTCCCTTCTACTCTTTGAATTTAATTAGCCCAGAGGTTGTTCCAGGGTACCGAACAAGTTTTTTAAAATTCACCTGCAAGTTCTTGATTTCTGTCATTGCATCACTTCCAATTTTGTCCTTCTTCAGCTCCATTTGCTTTACGGCCACCTCTATGCCTCGTCGTGTGTCCGTCCCTTTCAAATAAATCAAAATTTCATGTAAACCTAAATATGTTCCTAAATATTCTGCGATCAGCAGGAAATCCAGTACTCCCTCTCGACTTTAAAAGATTAACTGTAAGACAATGGACATCACGTACCTCGAAACACGATTCCAAACCCTCCCTGTCCTAACTTGTCTTGCCAATTGACTTCGTAGTGACCCAGAACGACATTGGCGGCTGCCATGGCAATGGTACAGTACTGGAAGAAAGTTTTAAAATACAATTATAAAACCAGTTGAATAGCAGTCATTCACTAGAGGAAGAAACACTAAAAGATATGACGACCACGATGTTACCGGGTTGATGTGAGAAAAGCCAGAAATCCAAAGAAAATGTTTTATATCATAGTTAAAGTAGATCTAGTGGGTACTTTGCATCCGTCTGTCTGGATTCTTTTAACCATACTTTTGCTAATGCTTAGATTATATTATTACATATAAAAAGCGTCGCTCTGCTCAATTGCGCTTTTATTTGTGTGGGATTTCAAACGATTTGATTGGATACAAGCAATTTTTTAGTCAAAAAATAATATATTTTTTTAGAATAATTATCTTGCAGCATCGATAATTATTGAACTTATTTGAACTTTTGCGTTCGATTACACCGTTTCTGTCTCTCCTCTCCTGAAAGAAACCCAGTAACTATCTTTCGAAAGAAAACTATATATCTATTTTCCTGTGTATTCGAGAGAGGGTGAAATGAGGAAGCACGAGTTACGGTTTCTCGTTCAACGCTTTGGTACTTAGAGTCGCTACGATGTTTAGTTTAGTGATACACCGATCGCCAGAAAACTCGAATCGACATGCGCAGTTGGAGCGTGGCACTTAGAATTTTTTCGGCTTGGATTTCACTCCCTCCTTGTAGAAAATGTATGGCGAATAATTATGAATCTCTTCGTGAATTAAAATATATGTATTTACACAAGCTACCGTGTATCTGGATAAGTTCTCATAAACGTAAAGTTTATTTAGAAGCTACTYATGGGACTTAACATAGTATTTTCGGTTCGGTTTTACGAATTTTGTAAACCAACAGTTTTTGACGCCATGTATAGGGTGTCACTTAGTGGAAGCGATGAATATACCTGCACTACATTTAAATTTTCTATCCCTATATGTGCGTACTAACCTTGCCGCATATGTATTTCACGAGTTGAAATAACAGACCATTGCTCAGCAAAATATTTTGATAAATTCCTCTCGATACAGGCTCGGTTTTTAAGATTTAAACTATGGCACAAATGACGTCTACACAAGTGCAATATCATCCATAGAAAGTGCTTTAGTTGATGTGAAAAGCGAGGAAAACTACTTGCTATCTTCTTTTTCGAAGCAGCCATCTTGAATAAATTGTGCTAGGCGTTCAAAATAAAGCCTAGAGAGACTGAACCCTAGTTTACCCATCTGACTTTGCAGTTTTAAAAAAAACCGCGAATCTTAGTGTGCCAAAATTATTGTGTTTGTAATAACTTCGGGAAATTTTTTGAAATGTCTGATGTACATAAAGGAAAAGAGTTGATTTCTCTCACTGAATGCCCCAACACAAAGCTCCACTATATCTTGGAGTAACGCGAAAGCGGCAATGATGTAGTTTTCTGGTTAAAAATAAGAATGGAGGCCCTTGCTGCATGGAGACGAACCATGGTTTGTTCTTCTCAGAGTCTGAAGTACATCGAACTCATAAATTTAACCATTCCTGGAGATGCTTTTCGACTAAATAAGGAAAGTGTTCGACTAGAAAAACAGTTTTCAAGGATTGCTATTGATTCTGAAAACAAAAGGAAAGYCCTCAACAAAATGGGAAATCTGAAAAAGAGAAAACAATTTTTGGAAAGCTGGAAAAAAATTGCAATTTTGAAAAATGATATTATAACAGTGGAAGAATGGAAATCAAAACTCAGCGACCTCGAACAAAAATTGCAGATAGCAGAGAGCCAAATAGAGGAATTAAAAGAAAAATATTCTGACATTGAAAAGAAAAAACAGGAACTTTTCATGGAAATGGTCAAGGAAAAAGAAGTTCTCAATATCTGCCAAGAGGAAAATGAAAAAATGAAAAAATATATAAGGCAACTTGAAAAAGACCAGTATTGTCAAGTCAGGGGCACAGCTATTCCTAAGCTTAAGTYGACTCAAGCCCAAAATAAGAAATTAAAGGAATTAAAATCAAGAGCTCAAAAGGCTCTGTATTTCAGTAGTCTTTTTGGGCTCGAGCTTGACTGCCTAAAGTTGAAGGATCCAGACAGCTCCAAGACATACAATATTGAATTCAACAGCTCATCTCCTACAGAACCACTAGTTTCCTCTGCTTCCCCAAATGCATCATTGACACAGGACAAAACTTTACCTGCTACACCACCCTCYAGCTCTGAAACKTCATCAACWTCCAGCTCCCCTAATATGAATGATCAGTCTTCACCACAAACACAATTCTCTAAACTGAATGAGGATGATAAAGCCAGGGTCGAGAGTATTCTCTACCTCCTTGATAAATTTGGGGTTGGAGATGAATTGTTACATGAATTGTCCATGACCATAGATGGATTGCCCAAGTCCTACTTGATTAAACAATGTAGAAGTGAACTCAACAAGAACTGCATAATTACTTCTACCCCAGGCAAGGCCCCAGGTGCACAGCATCATTTCAAACAATTACTAACTGATCAAGTTCAACAAATGGTATGTACATATTTGTGTCTTGTTTTTATTTTCAGATTGTGGAGGCCGTACTTGTAATGCTCTCTTTAGAAGGTTTCTAATTTACTTACATCAGTAAATCATTGTCTTTACAGAGAAAGTCCAATGTGATTCAAGAAGGTGAGAAGGTGAAAGTTAAATTGAGTGGTGATGGTGCCAGAATGAGTAGGGCGAGTAATTTTATATTGCTCAGCTTTTCAATTCTTCAGAGTACAGATGATCTATTATCATCAAAAGGTAAATATTACTATAATTGTACAATTTATAAGATGAACTAAAGTGTTTTTCATAGGAATTTGATTAAACAATTTCAAATTATCTCATAGGTACTCACACCATAGCTGTAGTAAATGGCCCTGAAAGCAGAGAAACTATAGAAAGCAGCTTTAAGGACATTTTTGATGAGGTCAATGATATAATAAAGGATGGCTACATAACTGTGGATAACAAACAATTAGAGATAGAGATGTTTCTTGGAGGTGATTACAAGGTACACTTCATRTATACAGTCATATTCCATGCAATAAAATGTTATATTTATGGACTAGGTATTAAGCATAAAAAGTTGTATTTCCTTATCTGCGTAAGTCGTTTATCTTTTCAGTTCCTGCTGCTGGTTATGGGCCTCACTGCAGCTAATTCCAACTATGCTTGTTTGTGGTGCAAAGTTTTTAAGAAAGACAGGTATATGCTTAAGTACCCTAGCTTGCCTTTCATATTTTATTCATTGTTGTTAGGATAACGACAAGTAAATGTATCCACATGCTGATTAAAAAAAAAAAAAACTTTAAAAAAGATAAATAATAATTATTGTTTTCTTAAGGGGTGACATGACCAAGCCAGACAACTACTACAATGAGGCACCTCTCAAGAGAACACTGGAGGAACTGCATGAATGTGCCTGCAAATCAAAGGGAGAAAACTACTGTTGTGYATTTCCACCTCTCCTTAATATCCCACTGGATCACATAATATTGGATGAACTACATTTAATGCTCCGCATAACAGATATTTTAATTGGTAACCTTATTGAAGATGCAATGCAGTGGGATGATAAGGAGAGTTTTCTCAGCCATGTGAGTGGAAAGCAAAAAATCCATMTTGACAAGCTCATCAATACCATCAATAGCTGTGGGGTTTCTTTCTCAGTCTGGGAAAAAAGAAATGCAGATGGAAAAGGATCGGGTACTTGGGATTGGACAAGTTTAATGGGGGATGACAGGAAGAAACTTATGAAAGATCTTCCCAGCAAATTGGAGACTGTAATACAACAGGATACTGCAAAAACAGTAGTAGAATTGTGGAAGGTACCCATGTTAATTCAAATTTCAATTTAAATCCAAGTTTAATCCAAACAATTGAAGCTAACAAAATATGATATAAAGTTATTTGCTGTATTTTTTATAGGAATTTGCCAATATGTACTTTGACTTCATTTCTTCCTTTGAACCAACTAACATTGATRAATACCGTCAAAAGGTAATTTGCAAATTACAAGATTTAAAATTTGTCTGCTATCCTAATGCTAAAGGAAATTTCTTTCTAGATGAAAAAATGGATTGACACCTTTGCTGAAGTGGGGCATAAAAGGATTGGATATGCCAGAGAACGTGTGACATGCTATATGCATGCAGCAGCATACYACATCCCACAAATGGTGAAGTTGCACAAAAATATAAAACAGTTCAGTGGCCAAGGTACAATTAACTGAAACATAACTACATTAAATTTTTAAGCACAAGTAATATAATGCTGATACATAAACTTGCAGGTGTGGAAAAAAACAATGATGATGCTCGGAAAATAATACAAAGAAAGAGCAATCACACTGATGACCCCGCTGAAATCCTGCGTGCTGAGTTCAGAATCAATGCTTTGAAGCATAAGGGAGAGAAAGCCCAGAAAATATACCAAAAAAAATTCAGAATACTGGCAAACCAACATCAAAGCAAAACGCAAAGCACGCAAGAGAATCAGCTATGACAARGTCCCTGAAGTTTTKCCAAATGAAGCACCTCCTGTAATGGCTGAGCCACCTACCCAGCAAAATAATAGAGCAAAAAGAAAGCAAGCTGTGTATTCAAGAAAAGGGGGGGAAAATGCCAAACGAACCAAGAAACAATAAGACATGTATGAGTAATATATATATATAGTATGCAAGTAGGAGACCKTCATGGGCATTTATAATGGCTAGCCATATCAGCATAGTGCCAAAATATCTATGTTTATTAAGTGGAATGCAAATGAGGATGAGTCTGTATCTGATTTACAGACTTGAATATGATTAAGATTTTCTATTGTGCTTTGTTCATTGATTATTTATAATACAGTATTCATTTATGAATTCTTATTAAGAGATATAAGCTTAAAGGGTATAAGTTAATTATTAGAATCATCACCAAGAGCTACTTTTATGAAAGAAAAAGTCAATTTCTCCTGAAATGCTCTTGGTGTTGGATGGTGCCCTTCAAGTACACTATATTTTTTGGGTGACCGGGAGATATAAGATCTAACTTTCATGGGGTAAAAGACTTTTATCCCCTGGCCATGGGAATCTGCAGAGTAATCCCAAAACTCTGGAAAATACTTCCTTGGGAAAGCTGACTTTTCTAACAAGTGCCATCTCTCATRAAGTGTCCATTTTCCCTCAAAAAGGGATTTATAAACGTCTCCCCTGAATGAGATGGTTACTGGAAGCCTTGATTTTGATTTAAGGTGTTTCTCAACCGCAACCCTGAATGAAGTTACTTCTGAAAAAATGATAGTTTCCTCAATTACTGGATTATTGAAAAACCTGAAAAGGAAATCAATAAAATGCGATTAGTAAATGATGCACCTTTGACCACAGAAAACTTCCCCATTTTTAAAATATATTGTATATATAGTGGTGTTTTATTTTTGTATGCTGCTGTAAATATTCAATACATAATAAAAGCTTAAATA